CCGTCCTGCTGGGTCACAATGAGGTCACAATCGACTCACCGCAGTGAGTTTCCTGGCTAAGAGCAACAGGGCCGTTGTTAACCTTAACCACCCGCCAGCCTGCGCCAACTGCCACTCAGTGCCACCCTGCAGACAGACCACCCCTCCCTAGGGCCTCCAAAGCCGACTCGGTGCCACCCTGCAGACTGCCCCACAGAGAAAGATGAGGCCGTCTGTTCCCAGCAAGATTCAGAGCCTCAGACCCCTACGGGGTTGTTGCACTTTCCTACAGGGTCACCACGAGTCGGAAATGATTTGACAGCAAATGATGGTTACGGAAAGCAGGCCTTTAACATGGGGAATGGTGGCTGGCTGCAGTAATGGCCGGCTAAAAGCGGTCTACTAAGGAGCCCAGGTGGTGCAGTGGACTCGGGTTGGGCTGTGATCGCACAGTCGGCAGTTTGAAGTCGCCAGCAACTGCTCGGGAGAAAGACGGGGCTTCCTACTCCCATAAATGGTTACCGTCTCGGAAACCCCCAGGGGTCACTGTGAGTCCGCACTGACTGACTGGCAGTGAGCTTGGTTTGGTTGAATGTGGCTAAAACAGGACTGGCACGTGAGCCAAAGCGAGTCAGTACCTTAGTCCACCGGCAAAGCTTCACACCCGAGTGACTTCCAATCAGCTGGTAGCCTGAAAGGACACAAGGGACAGACAAACACATGAGCAGGGCTGACGCCAGGCCTCCAAACAATCTTTTCAGAATTTTAACACAATCACTCCTTCTCTGCTTGCATTACAGCATCCAAGTCACCCGCGGCAGAAAGCATTAACGGTCTAACTCACAAAATGAGCGAAAGTGTACACGCTTCTACACACGGAGGAGTCTGGTGGCATAGTGGGTGAGGCGTGGGGCTGCTAACTACAAGATCAGCCGTTCAAACCCGCCAGCCCCTCTGAGGGAGAAAGGTGAGGCTGTCTGCTCTAGTCAGGACTGACAGCCTTGGAGACCTACAGGGCAGTTCTACTCTGTCCTGTGGGGTGCTGTGAGTTGGAATCAACTCGATGGCGGCGGGTTTGGTTTGGGTTCTAAAATACGGACTCGGACAAGACGTCCCCTCCCTGGATGACAGCACTTCAGAGGACAGCCCTGAAGATACCGCTCAGGGAGAGCGGCCGGTCCGACCCGCCCACATGGGGGCAAACCAAGAAGGGAGTGCGACAGACCAGCCATGGAAGCAAAGACAGGAATCCCAATAGCAGAGGAGCAACGGGGCTTGCAGGAGGCTGAGGACCAAAGGGTGTAAGTGCTGTTGGGTACGCAGGTCCCAGGAGCTCCCGGTAAAATGATTAAAAAATGAAATAAAATGTGGACTCGGGACCCACCCGGCAATAAAAGCCTCCTCCAAATTCACAGGGGTACAGTAAGCACCCTATTCCGGGCCGAACTTGGTTCCAGGAGGAGACAGCAGCCACACTCCACCAGCTTGGACCAGCGAACCACCAGCCCAATCAAGCCCAGCTATGGGCACCGATTCCAACCAGCACAGAGCTCACAACCTTTGCAAACTCGGGAAAGTCTTCTCCAAGCACGAACTAGAGCCCAGTGGCCCAGATGAAGGGTGAGGAACCAGCACCAGGCGCCCCTGGCGAAAGATGCAGACTAGGATCAGAGCCGGCGAGCTTCACGGTGAGGGGCATCCGTCACTCAGCAAAGGATAAACACCGGATGGGGCCAATGCAAGCGGATACACACCAAGACAAAGCCCCGCAGGCCAAAGGGAACAGACTTTGGAGGTTGCCCAGGGAGGGAAGGTGAAGCCATGCACTGGAGGGCTGACAGGTGTTGACTGTGGTGAAAGGGAGGCTGGAGAGCCAGAAGTGGGGAAAGAGAAGTGAGGAGTGGGGGGAGGGAGAGATACATGGGGAGGCTGATCAATGGTCTAACTCTCGAATACACAGAAGATAGTCTGAAATGTACACCCTCCGCCTACTTCACAAACTTTCAAAACTCATGAGGGTTTTTTTTTTTAAAGGGCGATTATATAAAAGTTTTACACATCGACCAACAAGACAAGCAACCCAATCAGCCCATGGCCGGGGACTTGAACAGACAGCTCCCTAACGA